CAGTCTCAGTTGAATGACCAGTCTTGAAACCTGACTGGTTTGGATCAAGAAGGTCATTCTGAGAGAGATAGCAAGAGAGTTGGCTAAAGACGGCACGCTCAATAGTTTTGGAGAGAAAAGGAAGAAGGGATACTGGTCTGTAGTTGTTGACATCAGAGGGGTCGAGTGTTGGTTTTTTGAGAAGGGGTGCAACTCTCGCTCTCTTGAAGACGGAAGGGACATAGCCAGCGGTCAAGGATGAGTTGATCAGCGAGGTGAGGTAAGGGAGAAGGTCACCGGAGATGGTCTGGAGAAGAGAGGAGGGGATAGGGTCAAGCGGGCAGGTTGTTGGGCGGCCTGCCGTCACAAGTCGCAAGATTTTATCTGGAGAGAGAGGGGAGAAAGAAGTCAAAGCATAGGGTAGGGCAGTGTGAGCAGGACCAGCAGTGTCATTTGACTTAACAAACGAGGATCGGATGTCGTCAACCTTCTTTTCAAAATGGTTGACGAAGTCATCCACAGAGAGGGAGGAGGGGGGGGTACGGTAGAGAGACATGTTTGTGGAGTAGTTGTGAAGAGTGTGAAGTGGGGTTGAAACAGACATAGACCACCACTGTGGCCTGACTGCCTGACTCCTCAGCCCTGCTGATTATGACTAATGGGAACCCATAGTTACTTTAGCACTCAGCTAAGTGTCAAGTGCCTAATCTGATTTCAATGTTGGGTTAACCGTTCTCATCCAGAATGCTGCAGCCCGTCTGGTGTTCAACCTTCCCAAGTTCTCTCACGTCACCCCGCTCCTCCGTACACTCCACTGGCTTCCAGTTGAAGCTCGCATCTGCTACAAGACCATGGTGCTTACCTACGTAGCTGTGAGGGGAACGGCACCTCCTTACCTTCAGGCTCTGATCAGTCCCTACACCCAAACGAGGGCATTGCGTTCTTCCACCTCTGGCCTGCTGGTCCCCCTACCTCTGCGGAAGCACAGTTCCCGCTCAGCCCAGTCAAAACAGTTCGCTGCTCTGGCACCCCAATGGTGGAACAAGCTCAGTCACTGACCACCATCCGGAGACACTTGAAACCCTACCTCTTTAAGGAATACCTGGGATAGTATAAAAGTAATCCTTCTACCCCCCCCCCACCCCCCCAAAAAAAATTAATAATAATAATAATAAAATAAAATAACAAACTACAAATAAATAAATAAATATATATATATATATATATATATATATATATATATATATAAAACAAATGAAAATTAAAAATATACTCAAAAAATGTAAAATTTAGAAAAATATATAAAAAAAATAATTGTTAAGTGGTTGTCCCACTGGCTATCATAAGGTGAATGCACCAATTTGTAAGTCGCTCTGGATAAGAGCGTCTGCTAAACGACATAAATGTAAATGTAACCTTCAGTGTTACGTGTCTACCCTTTCAAAGGAAATTGCAATTGGATAACTGACTGTGTGTGTGTTCCCCAGTGAGCATGACGTGGGGGAGGATGACATCTACGACTGTGTTCCCTGTGAGGACGATGGAGATGACATCTACGAGGACATCATCAAGGTGGAAGTAAGACAACCCATGGTGAGAGCTTTGTGTTGGCTTGTGTATATGTCATTCTCTGCTTGTCTCTGTGTGTGTGGGTGTGTCTGTCTCTGTGTGGGTGTGTCCTCCCTGACCTATGATGCTCTCTATCTGTCGGTGTGTGTTCTGCTCTGCTCATCTGCTATGTTTTCCCTTCCTGATGCTGCAGATCAGATACATGCAGGTAAGTGCCCTGACTCACCAATCTTTCATCTGGCGCTATCCAACAGTCTGTCTGAGACTGACATGTCCCCACAACACCCTTCCCCTCAGATCAATGACCTACAGCACAGGTCAAGGGAAACCCTATCTGCCTCTGTGTGTGTGTGACTCACCGTGACATCAACATATCACCGTCAATAGCATGACAGTCTCTCTGTATGACATCATCAAAAGCCGCCACATGCCAGATCAAACCTTAATACAGCCTCTCAATAAAACGTTGCTGTCATCAGTTCCTATGTCAGTTCTGTAGCGGTGCTCCCCAGCAGGCCTGATTGGGTGTTTGTTTTCTATTACCCAGCTGGATCTGGGCCTGTGAGTCTCTAATTGGCTGTGGTTTGACGTGATTATCCCCCTATTGTATGATCAGAACTGATAATTAACATTCAGCCCTGTTGCAGATGGCACGATAGAATGAATACTCCTCTCAAAACAAAAACAACCAAGACTGTTGAGAGACAATTGAGACAGAGATGATGTCAAGAGATTTTCACATGGTCGTATTATTCGCAGAAGTTTTTTATTTATTTATTTATTTCAACTGTCTCTCAGTTTTGTATTGCATTGTGATTCACTGATCTGATGCTGCAAGGCTAGCCAGCCTCCCCCTCCTCTCCCCCCTCCCCCAGCCGTAGGGTATGAGTAATGCTGCCCCCCCCTCCCCCAGCCGTAGGGAATGAGTAATGCTGCCCCCCCCTCCCCCAGCCGTAGGGTATGAGTAATGTTGCCCCCCCCCTCCCCCAGCCGTAGGGTATGAGTAATGCTGCCCCCCCTCCCCCAGCCGTAGGGTATGAGTAATGCTGCCCCCCCCCTCCCCCAGCCGTAGGGTATGAGTAATATTGCCCCCCCTCCCCCAGCCGTAGGGTATGAGTAATGCTGCCCCCCCCTCCCCCAGCCGTAGGGTATGAGTAATGATGCCCCCCTTCCCCCAGCCGTAGGGGTTGAGTAATGCTGCCCTCCCCTCCCCCAGCCGTAGGGTATGAGTAATGCTGCCCCCCCCCCTCCCCCAGCCTTAGGGTATGAGTAATGCTGCCCTCCCCCCTGCCCCAGCCGTAGGGTATGAGTAATGCTGCCCCCCTCCCCCAGCCGTAGGGTATGAATAATGCTGCCTCCCCCAGCCGTAGGGTATGAGTAATGCTGCCCCCCCTCCCCCAGCCGTAGGGTATGAGTAATGCTGCCTCCCCCAGCCGTAGGGTATGAATAATGCTGCCCCCCTCCTCCCCCAGCCGTAGGGTATGAGTAATGCTGCCCCCCTCCCCCAGCCGTAGGGTATGAGTAATGCTGCCCCCCCCCCTCCCCCAGCCGTAGGGTATGAGTAATGCTGCGCCCCCCCCCCCCCCTCCCCCAGCCGTAGGGTATGAGTAATGCCCCCCCCTCCCCCCAGCCGTAGGCTATGAGTAATGCTGCCCCCCCCCCCCCCCCCCAGCCGTAGGGTATGAGTAATGCTGCCTCCCCCAGCCGTAGGGTATGAGTAATGCTGCCCTCCCTCCCCATGAGTAATGCTGCCCTCCCCCTCCCCCAGCCGTTAGGGTATGAGTAATGCTGCCCCCCCCCCTCCCCCAGCCGTAGGGTATGAGTAATGCTGCCCCCCCCCCCAGCCGTAGGGTATGAGTAATGCTGCCCCCCCCCCTCCCCCAGCCGTAGGGTATGAGTAATGCCCCCCCTCCCCAAGCCGTAGGGTATGAGTAATGCTGCCCCCCTCCCCCAGCCGTAGGGTATGAGTAATGCTGCCTCCCCCAGCCGTAGGGTATGAGTAATGCTGCCCTCCCCCCTCCCCATGAGTAATGCTGCCCTCCCCCTCCCCCAGCCGTAGGGTATGAGTAATGCTGCCCTCCCCCCTCCCCAGCCGTAGGGTATGAGTAATGCTGCCTCCCCCACCCGTAGGGTATGAGTAATGCTGCCCCCCCCTCCCCAGCCGTAGGGTATGAGTAATGCTGCCCCCCCCCAGCCGTAGGGTATGAGTAATGCTGCCCTCCCCTCCCCACCATAGGTAGAGTAATGCTGCCCTCCCCCTCCCCCAGCCGTAGGGTATGAGTAATGCTGCCCTCCCCCCCCCCCCCAGCCGTAGGGTATGAGTAATGCTTGCCTCCCCCCTCCCTGTGGTATAGTAATGTGCCCTCCCCCTCCCCGCCGTATGGTATGAGTTGCGCTCTATCCCCCTCCCCCAGCGTAGGGGTATGAGTATGCTGCCCTCCCCCTCCCCCAGCCATAGGTTGAGTAAGCTGGGCCCTCCCCTCCCCAGCCGTAGGGTATGAGTAATGCTGGGCCCCCCCCCCCCCAGCCCCGCCCCCACCCACCCCAGCCAGGTTTGGGTTTAATGCCTGTGTCCGTGTTTGTTTCACTGCCTCGTCCTCTCCCAGGCGGCATTTCGTATAGGTAAAAAAGTATGGATTGTGTGCGTGGGCAGGTGGGCTGCTTTCCTAGGCCTTCAACCTCACCGGGGCTTTTCATGCTTGGGGTCTGGGCTGGCCCCAGATGTTCCCCTGGTACAGAGCTGCAGACACAGATGTTCATTAGCACTTGGCCGTGAGCAAGCCAGCCAGCCAGCCAGCCAGCCGGCAGTCAACTCATACAAAGCCCCAGTTCCAGTGTTTATGTCCCCGCTTTCCCACAACACGGACAATCGGCTCGCGTTACACAACCTGGTCCCAGCAATTACAGTTAATCAGAAGTATCATATTCTATTGGATCATGTCGGAGTGCAGTGAGGAGTGAGAATTGGGCTCATTTCATTAAAAGTGCTCATCAAATTCCCATTGAGGGGTTTGGATGCAGTGCTGCAGGGCCTCTGGGGTGGTGGGCTCTGTTCTGGAATCCCCCTGTCTGGTAGAGTTTACAGTCACAACTCCCTATTGGGATCGACTACTGTACATTGATGTCACCACTGCAGCTGAAACTCAAATGGGAAATACATTGCGTCCTTCGTGTGCCCTTGTTACCTCATTAATTCTGCAGATGTTGAAGTCCATTTGGATGATGAGTATTGTACATTGTATAGAATGGTAAACAGTGTATACAGGAGGTATACAGTACAATATGATTTGTAATAATGACCTTGTCAGAGCATGCCTAAATAGTAGCCCCATGCATTTGAGACCCATCATTAGACAATTAGCCACATTAACCACATGGTCAGTGACGTGTCATACGTTGACAAAATTACAGCCCAGCGTCACTTCTCCTGCCGTTAATTACCTCCACAGAAAATGGGCATGACAGAAGACGACAAGAGAAATTGCTGCTTAGTGGAGATCCAGGAGACTGAGGCCAAGTACTACAAGACGCTGGAGGACATTGAGAAGGTGGGTGAGGGACGGAGCTGGGGTGAAGTTGTGTGTGTGTGTGTGTGTGTGCATGTGCGTGTGTGTGTGTGCGTGTGTGTGTGGCTGGCTGGCTGGCAGTGTTGGGTGTAGCTTTCTGCTAGAGTATGTGTGTTTTGTCACGTCTCCTGTGTCAAGCCCGCAGGCAGGGAGCGGTGTGGAAATGTCAGCTATTGGCAGGTTCATTGGAGAGGACAAATGTCAGTGGAGCAGGTCGATAGGCTTATTATTGGCACGGTCCCATTGGAAGAGACCGATCCCCAGGGTTCTATGGATACACACGCGCCCACACACACACACACACACACACACAGTTCTCCCAGGGTTGTAAATAATGTTGTTTAGATTTACATTTACATTTAGGAGCCGCTCTTATCCAGAGCGACTTACAGTTAGTGAGTGCATACATTTTCATACTAGATCAGCGGTAAAACAGCAGCTTCTCCATGATGAGAAATATATTATTCTCAATAATATCCACTGGTTCCATTAGACTAAAGGTGTGTTTGTGTTTGCTGAGCCAATTAAGCCAGAATCACCTTCTTATAATCAGAGGACTTGTTTGGGCTTAATTGAGTTGGGGTTAATAAAGCTGTCATCTCTTCATTACATTTTAATGGATGTATTTGTTCTCATTAAGATTATGTAATGTGACAAGCATACAATGACCTTACTCAAACAACAGGGAAAGTTTGTGCCAGTCAACATCGGTTTAGTCCATAATGTTGATTGATCGGTGGTTAGGCTATTAGCTGGCCGAAAGTAGGCTACATGAAAAGTGCAATACTGTTAATGTAACCGTTTAGTGTGGGTTTTCAGTTTATTTATGTAAATCACAAAGCTCATCTGCATTTCCTGCGGTGCAGGAAAATTCTCAGCAACAAATGCATGATCAAATTAAGATCCTACACCTGTATATTTAAATTTCACTACTGCTGTTTTGGTATTCTTCAGAATTATATGATTCCCCTGAAGCAAGTTCTAAGTCCACAAGACATGGGGGCCATCTTTGTAAATCTAGAGGTGAGTACACACTGGTGATGATGAGAGTGATCCTTGTGTCAGTGTTGATGATAGAAGTTGTGTTAAAAAGTGTTCTAACATGCTGAGTGTGGTTGTGCTGGACCCATACAGGATGTGATTAAGGTCCACTTTGCTCTGCTGAGGGCCATCGACCTCAACATGGTGAGCGGAGGCAACGGTCTGGGGAAGATCTTCATAGACTTCAAGGAAAGGTTAGTCACCTCAAGGAGATGTGTGTGTGTGTGTGTGTGTGTGTGTGTGTGTGTGTGTGTGTGTGTGTGTGTGTGTGTGTGTGTGTGTGTGTGTGTGTGCGTTTGGGATCAGTATTCCCTGTGCTGCCCTTTGTGCATGCAGTTGGATTTAGATGCAGGATTTCCGGATAAGACAGGATAAATGAGATTAGTTTTAAACTGAATAAATGGATTAATTTAAAATGCATGTAAGCAAAGCGCTGACTGTGTCTGTAACACTGTAATAAAGAAAATAACCTAGCTAGGAAGATAGCAGCCTCTACATGTTCTGCGTTCTATGGAGGGTGTGTATACTGTTGAAATGGATTCCTGTGTTCTACTATGTTCATGAAACACATTAGTGGATAGAAGAGTAGTCAGTCTGTTGAATACTGCAGCTGCAGTACATTACCGGGGATGTTGATTTGCTTGCATATGGAGGAGTGGTGATGTGATTCCCGCTGCGCTGCTCAGTAGGCAATTGTAATAATGGCTCTGGTAATGACGGGATGTAACCTTGACAGCCCTCCAGGAATGTTAGTCCTGATCCAGCCTTATTTTAGGACATTCACATGGAGCTGGAGCCAAACCTCGTAAAGTATATGTTTGTGTGAACACTGTGGATGGTGATCTGATTACAGTAAATAACCGGTAAGGGGGATGTATGCTTACTGCCATCCCCCCATCCCAAACAGACAGCAGTGGGTTTGTATAGTTTCAGTTTGTCAGATTGTGTAGGTAATTGGCTCATTGCAGGGCTGCTCAGGGGCCTGGAGAGCTGCATCACACAGAGCTAGCGTGACGGCAACGACACTCTCTATCCCGATCTCCCTCACTACCTCCCCAAACACAAACTCTTCCACCCCATCTTGCTGACACTGCTGATCTGATTGAGCTGTCCTTAGATCTCTTAAAATCTCTCACGCTATGCTAAACCAGGCTTGGCCCGTACAGTGGACTCTTCACTACTACATTACTGCACTACTACACTTGTAGGTCACTATACAGCTCCTAGTTATGGCCCTAGTTATGGCCCATGGTCTAGTCACGGGCCAACGTGTGGTCTGCCAGCTGATGCTACTAAAGGCCAGGCTTCAACATTACTGTGATGGGTAGGATTAGAGTTGTGACTTGTAGAATGTGGATCTTCTCTACACGACAACAGGCTAAAAAGCTCTCCTCCCACCTTCCCATCATCAGGCATTGAAAGATGTCAACGACAGGGAATGTTAATATTTACCTTCTGTGACATTCTGCTGAATGTGGAACAGGAGGGTATTTTGGGTAAATTATTCATTTGATTTGCACAGTGCTGTGCTGAGCTGTGCGTCAGCTGCCTTTGGTATTCAGGAGATGATTGACAGACAAGCTCCTGTTGTTTCATTATGAGTGGCTGGCTCTCTACCCGGTAACAGAGCCCGGAGAACAGGCGATTTGGCACCGCTCAGATGGATCCATTCTCATAAAAGCCCCTTGTCGATTGGTTCTAAGGACCCGGCTTCGTTTAATTAATGTTGTTATCTCCGCTTGTAAGTCCCAGTGACCTTTGCAACAATAGGCCAGCTTTTTCCTTTCTCTTTGAGAAATAAATAAAAAGCTTTTCAGGTTGTCATTGCTGCGCCCAGTGAAAGCCATGATGAAAATGTCAATGTTCTCCACAGCACTGCAGCTAATGGCAGCTTTTCTAAAAGGTGCTAAGACTTGGTGACAGGTTTAATGTACTGTATAGAGGAAGGCAGACTACTTTTTTAAGAGGCTCCCATGTTGGTTTCCCATAATTTACATTGGAGGGCTTGCCACTTTCCCAAACTACAAACTCATTTCCGGAGTAATCCGCTCCCCTGATAACACTGTAATATGTACTTAGAGGCAAACAGAGAGGGGTTTCACCAGAGGGCGCCGCCTGCGTTCTCCTCCATTTGCTGTGTGCTGGATTTGTTCAGTGGAGGTGAGGAGGTCCCAATGCTTTGTGTAAGTCAATATTATTGCCTCTCTCCGCAGCCTGTCACTTCTGATTTGCTGGGAGATTTCCTCTCCAGCCTGACACTGCAGCCCAATGCCACTGCAGCCTCGCTACAGAGGTGGGGAGAGCAGTTACTCCAAATTGTGTTTTCTCTGAAATAACATGCATGACGGCGTTCCCATAATGAGAGAGCCTGTGTAGCTGCAGCAGGGGCGAGAGCACCGACCGGAAGAGAGAGAGGAGGAATTTAAAGAGGGAGTTTACACTGCACTGACTGAGGAACATCTCCCTCTCTCCCACGGGAGAGCTCAGTCTAAAGCGACTGTGGCGTTTAGGGGTTGTTTCCTCAACATGCTTTTTTTACCGTCCATCTTCTGCCTTCACTCTCTCTCTCCCGCTCCCTCTCTCTTGTCCCTCTCTAGTACTTTAGGCAGTTGGAACTGTACTGAACTATGGGCATCCCTAGACTGTTTGGCTCTTGCCGTTGTCACATCGCAATAGGACATATAGGCTAGGACACGTCTTGACAGGCGGCGCTACCCCGAGACAGGCAGGCGACAGAAGCGACAGAGGGCAAGAGAATCAGGACTTTTTTTGCTTCACTTCAACACCTTTTCCACATGACACGTCAAGCTCCTTGAGGGCCTGGCGGAAGCCTTCATGTAGGCAGAGTGCTGCTTTATCATCATAGAGAGCACATTCCCTTTGGGGACTTGATCCATGCTGTCGACTGTCTCTAATATAGAATCCCAATTGACTCATCATCATCATCCAGTCTGTACTCTTTCTAGGCCATTAGAACACAGTTTGATTAACAGAACCCTCATTAGATCAATTTTGTCCAATTATGCATTCGTTTAAATGAGAGAGCCATGTAATGAAGGGAATGTGTCCATGTCCAGTTGTCTGTACAGTCCATGGTGTTTCTGTGGTGTTGAGGTCTGCTTTATACAGTGTTGGCTCTTATTGTTTTACCAGTCCGTCCTGTGAGTCATCCTTACCGCTCTTGGATCATTTTCTCTACTCCTTTAACATGACGTTTTAGGGTTAGCTTAAGAGTAGAATTTCACGGATTCATATGCTTATGCAATGGTGCAATAGTGTGCAATTCACCTCTTTATTTAAAGAAGCCAGAACGTTACACTGTGAGAGAGGGAGAGAGAGAGAGAGAGACAGAGAGAGAGTGAGAGACAGAGACAGAGACAGAGAGAGAGAGAGAGAGAGAGAGAGAGAGAGAGAGAGAGAGAGAGAGAGAGAGACTGGTGTAGAGCAAAGAAATGAAACATATAACTTTAAAGGGAAAGAGAAAAGGAGTGATAAAAAAGAGAAGTATGACGTGCTGGTTTCTAAGGGAGATGTGTCCAGACATCAAGAGAGAAGAGGCTGTGCCTGTCAGTGTCTCAGGGCCTAATTATGTCTGCCTCTGTCGTGTGGGTGTGTCTGTGTGTGTACATGTGGCTTTGTGCATGTGTGAGGTGTGTATGTGCATTCATCTGTGTGTGTGCAAACAGTGTGTGTGTGTGTAATCATCCCCTTTCTTCCACTGCCTGTCTCTGGGAGAACAAAGACAGTGACTTTCCTTTAGAACTGGAGCAACAAGAAAGCCTGTTATTAGAGGGGTCTGTAAGTATTAGCATTAACACTGTGCCACGTCCTCTCTGCTGTGTCAGTGTCAGAGCAGGCCCTGTGTCACACGTTGAGGCCTGTCACTGAGCAGGGGACAAATGTCTCTGTTAGGATGGCCTCTGTTCGCCGCCTCTCCGTGTCCTTGTCTATCAACACTAAAGACTTCTGCCTGGTTTTGTAGTGTTTTTAGTGGTGGTGGAGGAGCTTCAGAAAGTGGGCCCTCAGGCCCAGAGTTACTGTCCCACACTACACAGGCTACAGGAAACCCTGCTGTGGACGCTGCCTAACCCCGACCAACTGAGCTCTTCCTCTCTTGTGCATGTTCTTCATCTATCTCCTTCTGTTTTCTCTGTGTCTTTCTACCTCGCCCCCCTGCTTTCTGTCTCTCTTTATTGCTGGCTGGCTTATTCTTCTAATATTCAAAACTATTCAAAACCTTGTGTCTAGTCTCAGTGGACGTCTAATGTACCCGTAATCCATTGTCTCACACTCTCATCACAATATCACTTTCCCCACCAGTCGCTCCACCTTAAACATCACACTCCTGAAATGGCCTCGTAAAATAAGACCTTCATGTTCAATTAGGTCTGTGACACGTGTTATTAGAGGGTGTGGCTGACACCTGTCCCTGGACCCTCAGAATGCTGCTGCCTGCTGCTGAATCTAACTGCCTGTGCCTGGCTGCTGTCTCATTATTGACAAAGGCCCTCATTAATCTTCATCAGAGGAGATGAGCTGTCTCCCTGGTTGTGGATCAGGCCCTAATCATGCCCTTGTTAGCGCCAGGGGTCGCTGTCTCTGGCCCAGGCCCAGACAGGGAGCCTCACAGTGGGTGGCCATAGCTACGTTGCTGAGCCTGAGTTCCAACCATCCAGTCATTACTGGAGTTTAGGGATGGAGAGAGCCAGCCAGATAGTCAGACACTGGATGACTCATCCCTACGCATGGGGATCTAGTTATTTTGTGATTGTACAAAGCGATAGGGAGAGGTTGGATAAGTTAGTAGGCATTGTAATGGGGTTTGTGCAATCTGCTGGCGCTTAGTTAGGGGGTTTGTTCATGTAAGAGGCTTAGTAAAGGAAATGGGTTAGTTTTGAGAGCTAGGGTAGTTCCTATTATCAAAGCACTCTGTTAGTGGCTTATGCTGTAACTTTAAGATTAAGTGAAGAGTTATGGTCTGTTAAAAAACGCAGTGAAGTACTGTAGTAGTTGAATTGAAAGAAGAAGATAACCACCTATGTTTTAAAACATTTTCTAAGAGCCATGCCGTGCTCCTTCTCTGTTGCAGGTTTTTGGAGACATCTCCCAGCTCTCTGTAGCAGTGCTCTTGTCTCCGTTAAGGATCTGTCAGAGACATGATTAGACTTTAAAAATGGCAGCTCTGCTCCGCT